CTTGGCTATCCACCCATTACTAACGTGCTACAAGCTTGCTATCCACCCATTACTAAACGTGCTACAAGCTTGGTACCAACCCATTACTAAATCCACCCATTACTAAACGTGCTACAAGCTTGGCTATCCACCCATTACTAAACGTGCTACAAGCTTGGCTATCCACCCATTACTAAACGTGCTACAAGCTTGGCTATCCACCCATTACTAAACGTGCTACAAGCTTGGCTATCACCCATTACTAAACGTGCTACAAGCTTGGCTATCCACCCATACTAAACGTGCTACAAGCTTGGCTATCAACCCATTACTAAACGCTATCCACCCATTACTAACGGCTACAAGCTTGGCTATCCACCCATTACTAAACGTGCTACAAGCTTGGCTATCCACCCATTACTAAACGTGCTACAAGCTTGGCTATCCACCCATTACTAAACGTGCTACGCTTGGCTATCCACCCATTACTAAACGTGCTACAAGCTTGGCTATCCACCCATTACTACCTAAAACGTGCTACAGCTTGGCTATCCACCCATTACTAACGTGCTACAAGCTTGGCTATCCACCCATTACTAAAACGTGCTACAAGCTTGGCTATCCACCCATTACTAAACGTGCTACAAGCTTGCTATCCACCCATTACTAAACGTGCTACAAGCTTGCTATCCACCCATTACTAAACGTGCTACAAGCTTGGCTATCCACCCATTACTAAACGTGCTACAAGCTTGGCTATCCACCCATTACTAAACGTGCTACAAGCTTGGCTATCCACCCATTACTAAACGTGCTACAAGCTTGGCTATAAACGTGCTACAAGCCATTACTAAACGTGCTACAAGCTTGGCTATCCACCCATTACTAAACGTGCTACAAGCTTGGCTATCTACCCATTACTAAACGTGCTACAATCTTGGCTATCCACCCATTACTAAACGTGCTACAAGCTTGGCTATCCACCCATAACTTACCTATGGCAAAACATGATAGCAATTAACGAGAAAATAACGTCATTAAAAGTCGATGTGTTTACAACATCATAAAGCTTGGTGAAATATACAGGTCTATAATACAAGCATGGGGGGGGAGGGAGGGGAGGGAGGGGGGGGAGGGAGGGAGGGGGGAGGGGATAATTTAGCAGGTCCTGCAGTGTAAGTGAGCCTCGAACCCGTGTCTTGTTTTTGTACTAATACGTTTCTAAAGCTTCCCGGCCCACGCAGGCGCGCTTATTCATGTAGTGTTAGAGAGCGATCCCATTACCCATCGGAAAAAGGATCGAGGAGGACTGAAATAGAAATTTTGAGTTGTGAGCATTAATATTACTCCTTTTAATCAGTTTACAATGAGTAATGGGTTGTAAAAAGGCTATTGAAATGTATATCCAAAGTTGTTGAATGGTTTAAGATAGTAATTTGGGAAAATATGTTTGGGAAATTAAAGTTTGTTATCGTGAATAATCTTGAGGTTATCTTGAGATGATTTCGGAGCTTTTTCAGTGTCCCCGCGGCCCGGTCCTCGACCAGGCCTCCACCCCCAGGAAGCAGCCCGTGACAGCTGACTAACACCCAGGTACCTATTTTACTGCTAGGTAACAGGGGCATAGGGTGAAAGAAACTCTGCCCATTGTTTCTCGCCGGCGCCTGGGATCGAACCCAGGACCACAGGATCACAAGCCCAGCGTGCTGTCCGCTCGGCCGACCGGCACCCTCGGTTCCCCCGGATAATGATCTATATTGCGCTATGTTTTTTAAATATATATATTTTTTTGCATTTAATTATTATTATTATTATTATTATTATTATTATTATTATTATTATTATTATTATTATTATTATTATTATTATTATATAAAAATTAATGTGTTGGAGGATGGAGTACCACTTAATAATGACCAAAGCCTTCAAAGACTTTCATTAGGTTAGAGAGGTGGGGATTTCAACGCACTTGAAGCAAGTGATCCCACAGGCTTATCAGTTCAGTTCATGGTACAAGTCAATCAAAATCAAATGTTTATTCAGGTAAAAGTAGATACATAGATGCAGTTACAAACATAATGTTGGATGTATAGATAGATAGATAGTACATACAATACCTAAAGCCACTAGTACGCATAGTGTTTCGGGCACAATGTGTCTCACAAAGTTTGTTTTCTCTGTATGAGTGTATTAGTGATATACTCGAGGTATTTGCTGTAATATATTTTGTCACGAGATGTGTATACTCTGTATAAGGTAAACTTTTTTTTTACGTAACTTAGCAGTGATTCGGGGCCTGACTGTAAATCAATTGGAGGGTCGTGTTCCAGGGGGAACTAGTAGGATAAGACTTAATATGAGCTGTGGGAAAGAGGTTTCGAACCTGTTAATATGTCTCACAAGAGTCTACTCCTGAACTCACTTGTATAAAAAAAAGGAAAATGTATGGACGTTGGTATACCTTCTGTTTCATCGTGTAGTTGAGAATTGTAAACTGTGATGATACCTCGCATATTTTTTTAAATATATCTATTTAATCTCGTATGCAGGCGATGAGTCACAATAACGTGGCTAAATTAGGTTGACCAGATCACACACTAGAAGGTGAAGGGACGACGACGTTTCGGTCCGTCCTGGACCATTCTCAAGTCGATTCTTTGAACTCACTCAAAGTAATCGACTTGAGAATGGGCCAGGACGGACCGAAATGTCGTCGTCCCTTCACCTTCTGTGTGTGGTCTGGTCAACATTTCTCGTACATTCTGATGCCTATTTGTTCACGAGAATATTCTTTATGGATTCAACAGGACTTTGGAATATAATTACTAAGACTGAATATGTACAGTGATAATTACGTCTTATTTTCCGTATTGGTATAAGGAGTCACATGTGTGAGTCTAACATGACTTTTGCAATGCTTGGAAGCCATATATTTATCGATAATTATTGATCCTAATTATAGTGCATGTTTTTGTGTATAAATGTATTCCGTATTTGTATCTGTGTATTTGTTGGTAAAACAAATGGGCGTATGACTGAGGTTTTCAACGTGTGCCTTCTTTCCTGCTGCTATGCACCCAACCACTTGGGCTGGACGGTAGAGCGACGGTCTCGCTGCATGCAGGTTGGCGTTCAATCCCCGACCGTCCAAGTGGTGGGGACACCATTCCTTCCCCCCGTCCCATCCCAAATCCTTATCCTGACCCCCTTCCCAGTGCTATATAGTCGTAATGGCTTGGCATTTTTCCTTGATAATTCCTTCCTTCCTGCTGCTATGCTCTTTCTCCCTTCACTATCTCATACATTGTTGTTTATTGCTCTTGTGTCCATCCATCTTTACTGTCTGACCATCTTTCTTGTCTGGCCACTTGTGCTCTCTTAACTCAATATCACTTCTCACTCTTTTTCTCTACCCCTCTTAATATTCTCCATCTTCTCTACCTCACTACACACAATCATTTTTTGTCTTTTCTTAATTTCTTTCTCCTTCACCCATCATACTGGAATCATCAGTTGATTACAAACGCTCAAGGCAATGTAGAGAGAGAGAGAGAGAGAGAGAGAGAGAGAGAGAGAGAGAGAGAGAGAGAGAGAGAGAGAGAGAGAGAGAGAGAGAGAGAGAGAGAGAGAGAGAGAGAGAGAGAGAGAGAGAGAGAGAGAGAGAGAGAGAGAGAGAGAGAGAGAGAGAGAGAGAGAGAGAGAGAGAGAGAGAGAGAGAGAGAGAGAGAGAGAGAGAGAGAGAGAGAGAGAGAGAGAGAGAGAGAGAGAGAGAGAGAGAGAGAGAGAGAGAGAGAGAGAGGAGAGAGAGAGAGAGAGAGAGAGAGAGAGAGAGAGAGAGAGAGAAGAGAGAGAGAGAGAGAGAGAGAGAGAGAGAGAGAGAGAGAGAGAGAGAGAGAGAGAGAGAGAGAGAGAGAGAGAGAGAGAGAGAGAGAGAGAGAGAGAGAGAGAGAGAGAGAGGCTTCGATTCCCTGGCAGCTGTTTGGTCAACAGTTGACCGGTACAATCTGGTCAACAGATAATTAGTAAATATATCTTGTCTGTTGCAATAATAATTAAAAAAAACATTTAATTTTTGCTAATTAAATTTATGTATATATATATATGTTTTTTGTAACAAGAATTTGCCTTTAATCAGATATAAATTGTGTTATGGGAAACTTATAATTGTGATTGTTTTTAATATAATTTGTCTTTAAACACTTATGTATTTGTTGTTAATGGTAAACAAATGTCACTATTGAAGGTCTGTCCCCCTGTAATGGTCGACATTACACCCAGACAATGACACTTCGTGTAATATCAGAATAAGCCTTTTGTGTATGTTGAAAATAACAGAATCTTCGATATACGGTACAGTTGCAGGGTTCTGGCAAAGGCACTCTTGAGAATAGAGCGGCAACCTCCTCCTCATTCAGCCGCTCAGGCGACACTGAGCTCTTTCCCACCACCACCTGATACCCTCAACCTTGCGAGTTGCCACGTATGATAATTACAGGAAAACAAATCTCAAGGGAATTCGGTATCTAATCCACTTACAATTTCAGTATTTTAGTTTTTTAGTAGTTTGTAGTTGAGTGTTTTATCTAATATATTTCATGTCCCATGGAAGGCGACAAATTTGACATTACAAAAGTCAGCAGACGTGAAAGTTTTATCGTGCCAATAGTGACGTCAGAGCTCGGGGCACTTACTGAAGGGACGGGTCGGGCAGCAGGTGAACTGGATATCAGTGATACTCGTGCACCCAGCGCGCCCACACGTGCCCGCTCCTGCTCCACACACACCTCTGTGGTAGCCATCTAACCTGGTGCACGGACGGAGGTGGCGTACTCCACTCTCTCACCTTCCACGCTGGGAGACGTGTGCACTGTCTTACGGCGCTGAGGACGGGTGCTTCGGTTACATGATATTGTAATCTAACATCGGAAGAGTATTTTCACCCCACAGTGAGAGCGGTGATTAATTTGGAGTGCGTTACCTGAGGACTATCCACAACTGTGAGAATACCCGGACTTTCTCCGGCAATACTGCTGTCATACTCGTCCGCATCTTCTAGTTGACGCAAGAACTGTAAAAAAGGGACAGATATATTAGAAAACATTTTGCAAATCTTTCATACAACTTACGAAAACACACTTTTTGTATAAAAACGCTGCAAATAAATTCCGAGAGTAGCAGTGCTTGCATGTTGTCTCGTGTGTGTGTGTGTCACAGAACTAAAATACTTAAGAAAACATATAATTGTGATCTTTGAAATACCGCCGAGTTCACACGAGAAACCCCTTCGTTCCGAGTGGAGAGACATCGATGCTCTCGTGGTAGTGATCCACGAGGTGCCGCGAGGTGGTGACTGGTCGCCCGCAAGATGGAGAGGCTTGAGGACCAGGGCTGCTACAGCCCCTCCACCGACACTAACAACAACACCAACAGCAGCAGTAACGCCACCGGGAACACCCACGCGGAGGAGAAGTACGCCCTTCGGCCCAGGACCATCATCAAGCGACTCCAGCAAGAAAGAACTCGGCAGGAAGTTCCCAAGCGGCCGGCCAAGTCCAAATCGAGGCCAGCGCCGCTGTCGAAGTACCGAAGAAAGACCGCCAATGCACGAGAACGCCATCGCATGAGAGAGATCAACAACGCCTTCGAGTCTCTGCGGAAGGTGCTGCCGGATACTGTGGAGGTGCACGCCGCCTCCGCCACCGTCACCAAGATCATGACCCTGCGGCTGGCCGTCGAGTACATCAGGGCGCTCTCCGATGTCCTCGAAGATGACAGCGACCAAGATTTCAGCTCCTTCGAGAGCTCCTTACACAACTCCATCCAGAACTCGCTCCATAGCTGCCTTCAGCACTCCTTCGCTCCCAGTCTTCAGCAACACGTCCTGCAGAAAACGATGTCCTCGTCAGAGAGCCCCATGACCTTCCAGTACGAGCACTCAACGACCTCGTTCATCGAGCAGGGAGCACCTCAGCTGCCTCAGTTCGTGGGGCACTACACCCTCTCAGACCCCATGTCTGTCTCCAGCTCCCCCTCCACCCTCCGAGGGTCAGTAAGCAGCACTAGTGACCTCGAGGAACTCCTTTCCGATGACTCTGGCTTGCTGGAGGACAGCCTCGATGTCTTCCACGATATTCCCACTCTGACTGTCGCTGACCCCTTCGACATCCTCCTCAGTGCAGAAAAAGACACGCTTGTCTTCACCACTGAACTGTGTAATTAAAGACAGAACATTGATCTTAGCATCCCTGTAAGATACATATAATTAGTTTTAATCTTGAAACGACCTCATACGTTGCCGTGCTGAAATGATGGTGCTTCTGTTGCGGAGATGCCAGACTATTACTATATGCCTGCGGCACGCATGGACGTCTGCTCTAGTCAGAGAGCTTGTCCACTCTCGCAGTGCTGACGGACCCCCACCGCCGTGAGTGGACTATGGCTGTTAATTATTCATGACGTTGTGCAGTTTATGTGGGATCCTCGGTGGTTGATGAGACGGTGTGGAGCTAGGCCTACTGACTCAGTGGAGGCCAGGCTAGGCCTACTGACACCGTGCAGGCCAGGCTAGGCCCCACTGACACCATGCAGGCCAGGCTAGGCCCCACTGACTCCGTAGAGGCCAGGCTAGGCCCCACTGACACCATGCAGGCCAGGCTAGGCCCCACTGACACCATGCAGGCCAGGCTAGACCCCACTGACACCATACAGGCCAGGCTAGGCCCCACTGACACCATACAGGCCAGGCTAGGCCCCACTGACACCATACAGGCCAGGCTAGGCCCCACTGACACCATACAGGCCAGGCTAGGCCCCACTGACACCATACAGGCCAGGCTAGGCCCCACTGACACCATACAGGCCAGGCTAGGCCCCACTGACACCATACAGGCCAGGCTAGGCCCCACTGACACCATACAGGCCAGGCTAGGCCCCACTGACACCATGCAGGCCAGGCTAGGCCCCACTGACACCATGCAGGCCAGGCTAGGCCCCACTGACACCATACAGGCCAGGCTAGGCCCCACTGACACCATGCAGGCCAGGCTAGGCCCCACTGACACCATACAGGCCAGGCTAGACCCCACTGACACCGTGTGAACCCATCCACAACAATACATGAGCGATGCTAGTCTCCAGTGCCATATTTTGTGACCTTGTAGCGTAAATGTACTTTCCTAATTACAGGATTAACAGTGTACTTCACCCTGTGCATATTATGGGTTATAATATATACAAATAAACCGTAATTAAAATCGAACTTGCATGTATAAACTATATACACCATTGTTTGACGTAATTCTAAGTTGTCTTAAGTGTTTTATTGTGAAAAATTAAAGTGTTCTATTCTGTTATATGCTTTTCAACTATCCTCCTCATTTCACTTATAAAACGAGAATTGGAAGTGACATGTCTAATTAAAAGTATCATGCCTGATTGAGCAATAAATATGGACATATATATATATATATATATATATATATATATATATATATATATATATATATATATATATATATATATATATATATATATATATATAAATCTCACACACACAGAGGAAAATCAGAAAGAACTAATGGAATGAACTGATGCTTGAAGAAGGGAAGTTGGGAGTTGGCAAAAGCTCTATCAACTGGGCTATGAGTAGCCTTAACAAGGAACGTTTCTTTATTAAAGGGGATGGTTGGATTCCACATGAAGGTATGATAACACACAGGGTTCGGGAACCTATACACTGAGACAGTTGGGAGGCGGGACCCAGGAGCTGACTTCCTTACCTGCATCGCAATCTCCCGTCAAATGATGATAGAATTAGGGAAAATTTATTGGTTGAAGGAAGGATTTTGCTTATAAGGAATTATTTAAATAAAATTATTACATATAATTATTTTTTTGTAATAATAATTATAATCTTTTTTTAAACTATCATTATTGTAATAATTTTAATAATTATTAATTTCGTTCCTAATAAGCTCAGATATTTTTTATTGTTTCTCAAACTGTTTAAGTAATGTTAAGTAAGGAACCTAATTGTCTCTATTGTTGTAACCTGTTACACACACACACACAACATATGTATAAGCGTTATTGCAAACACATGAATACACATTAGTTCACATGTATACACACCTGCACTGATTGTGCACATACACATGTGAGAATGAGTCATACTAGCAGACAGGTCTTTCGCTTGAGAGTTGAAGTTAAGGAGCAGTTGGCTGCTGTTCCTCGGGCTTGAGGAACAGCTGGTTGCTCTCTAGCTTGTTCCTTGGGCTTGAGGAACAGCTGGTTGCTCTCTAGCTTGTTCCTTGGGCTTGAGGAACAGCTGGTTGTTCTCCAGCTTGTTCCTCGTGCTTCAGGAACAGCTGGTTGCCCTCTAGCTTGTTCCTCGGGCTTGAGGAACAGCTGGTTGCTCTCTAGCTTGTTCCTCGTGGTTCAGGAACAGCTGGCTGCTCTCCAGCTTCTTCCTCGGGCTTGAGGAACAGCTGGCTGCTCTCCAACTTGTTCCTCATGCTTCAGGAACAGCTGGCTGCTCTCCAGCTTGTTCCTCGTGCTTCAGGAACAGCTGGTTGCTCTCCAGCTTGTTCCTCGGGCTTCAGGAACAGCTGGTTGCCCTCCAGCTTATTCCTCGTGCTTCAGGAACAGCTGGTTGCCCTCTAGCTTGTTCCTCGGGCTTCAGGAACAGCTGGTTGCCCTCTAGCTTGTTCCTCGGGCTTCAGGAACAGCTGGTTGCTCTCCAGCTTGTTCTTCGTGCTTCAGGAACAGCTGGTTGCTCTCCAGCTTGTTCCTCGGGCTTCAGGAACAGCTGGTTGCCCTCCAGCTTATTCCTCGTGCTTCAGGAACAGCTGGTTGCCCTCTAGCTTGTTCCTCGGGCTTCAGGAACAGCTGGTTGCTCTCCAGCTTGTTCGTCGGGCTTCAGGAACAGCTGGCTGCTCTCCAACGTGTTCCTCGTGCTTCAGGAACAGCTGGTTGCTCTCCAACGTGTTCCTCACACTTTGACACCAGCTGGAAGTCCATCAGTTTGTGCCTCACGCTTCATGAAGTAGATGTCAGCACAGTATATTGTGCCTCACAGTTCATGAAGTAGATGTCAGCACAGTATATTGTGCCTCACAGTTCATGAAGTAGATGTCAGCACAGTATATTGTGCCTCACGCTTCATGAAGTAGATGTCAGCACAGTATATTGTGCCTCACAGTTCATGAAGTAGATGTCAGCACAGTATATTGTGCCTCACAGTTCATGAAGTAGATGTCAGCACAGTATATTGTGCCTCACAGTTCATGAAGTAGATGTCAGCACAGTATATTGTGCCTCACAGTTCGCTGCACAGTAAATTTCTTGCATAATATCTTTGTCCTGTTTTCTTTCATTTCCATGACCCCGCCCCCCCCACATACACACATACATTGTGTATATTTCACATACATTCTCACTTCTTATCTCTTTATCAGTTTCTATCATTCACCCTCTTCCGTTTGACCGATTTGTGTCATATATTCAATATCTATATTTGGTTCTTTTTTATATTTGGAACCAAATATAGATATTTTAAAGTTTGAACCGCCCGTTCGAACTATATTTGGTTCGAACGGGGGGAGGGGAGGGGGGTTCGAAGCCCGTTCGAACTATATTTGGTTCGAACGGGAACTATATTTGGGAGGGGAGGGGGGGGGGTTCGAAGCCCGTTCGAACTATATTTGGTTCGAACGGGGGGAGGGGAGGGGGGGGGGGGAAGGGGAACGGGGGGAGGGGAGGGGGGGGGGGGTTCGAAGCCCGTTCGAACTATATTTGGTTCGAACGGGGGGAGGGGAGGGGGGTTCGAAGCCCGTTCGAACCGCCGTTATGCACGAGTGTGTTATATTAGATCAAAACATCAGAAGGTTCCGTGCATGGTGTATGGGTCGTCGCCGTTACCTTGAGGTGCTTCCGGGGCTTAGCGTCCCCGCGGCCCGGTCGCCGCCGTGCAGGAGGTGATCACATAGAGCAACTCTAACGTTGCACGAATGCTTTATCTGCAGTTTGCAATGGTGGCAGCTGTTTTCCATTCGTCCCTCTGCAATACCATTTATAATTTTTTGGGGCCTAAGCTGTTTTCTTAGATTAGTTTAGTTCTGTTTATGTATGGCTTTGGTGTGGCTTTTTTGTTATATGGAAGTAATAAAAAGTCAAAATAAAATCTACTCACTGATCACTGAATGAAATCATTCACTGGTCATTGAATGAAGCCATTCACTGGTCATTGAATGAAGCTATTCACTGATCACTGAATGAAACCATTCACTGGTCAATGAATGAAGCCATTCACTGGTCATTGAATGAAGCCATTCACTGATCACTGAATGAAACCATTCACTGATCATTGAATGAAACCATTCACTGATCATTGAATGAAGCCATTCACTGGTCAATGAATGAAGCCATTCACTGGTCAATGAATGAAGCCATTCACTGGTCATTGAATGAAGCCATTCACTGATCACTGAATGAAACCATTCACTCGGCCGGAAGCAACAGATGCATCAGGTGCAAGGAACGTGCTCAACCGTTCTGTCCTTTTTGAACAAAAACCCGTTCCTGTCCTTTGGGACCCGAGTTCAATTCCGCTTCTGTCCACTGGAAATCGAACTCGCGTCCCTCGGTTGTGAGTCGAAGACGTAGACCACTGTGCTACAGGATCCTCTTTAGGAGGGTGGTGGTTCTCTTGGCTTGCTACTCCGTAAGAAAAGCAACTGTTCTGAATAACGAGAAACGTACGACCCCAAGCAACCCAACTAACCTATCGACAACGATGCAACGATTCACTAATACGTCGTATTTGTAACGGATTGAGCAATTCAGAAGAAATAGTCTACGAGTTATAATTATTTTTCTACCACAGACGTGGCCGGACATTTACAACGCTAACCATCATATATATACATTTCCTTGTGTCCTCATCAAGTTGTGCTTGCGGGGGTGGGGTTGAGCTCTGGATCTTGGGGCCCGCCTCTCAACTGTCAATCACTCAACATTTTGTCGTCAATGGACAGGGTTAGTGATCTGTTAAACATTGCTATTAAATCGTTTTCGACATCTGAACGTTTCTGGTTCAGTAATTTATTGAACAATCACTACAATCACCACAGAAGGTGATTGTAGTGTTTTTTTAAAAATACAAAATTTTTTATTTTTTATTTTCTCACTATGCTTGTGACTTTTCTCAAGTTGTTTATGGTAACAACTATTGTTTTCTTAATCTTAAACTTGTGTTGTCAGAGTTACTTAGAAATGTCCCGAGTGGTACCTTCTGTCTGCAAGATGCATCCACTCAGGACCTGTTTCTCAAGCTTCGTAGGTTATCTTGAGATGATTTTGGGGCTTTAGTGTCCCCGCGGCCCGGTCCTCGACCAGGCCTCCACCCCCAGGAAGCAGCCCGTGACAGCTGACTAACACCCAGGTACCTATTTTACTGCTAGGTAACAGGGGTGTCGTATGGTGGGGGTGTTCACTCAGGAACTCTATTAAGCTTCCCTGCTTGGTGCCTTCTTTTGATAATTGTTTAATCATTACACTTCTTTATAATAAATCAAGTTTATATATTTCTATGTAAAAAATCTGACATTAATTAGTTCTCTCTGGAGAGGCGTTCTCGTCTAGGAAGGAGTTTTAAGACTTAGATGTAAGTCCAAGTCTTAATCTTGGACTTGGACATGGGAAGAAGGATGTAACTGAACGCTTCAGTTTAGGAATCTTAATTATTTGAGTATTTATGTTTATGTCTTAATGTTAAATTCGTTTTTTTTCCGTATTCAGCATTGTTAAAATTTCCCCATGGTTGGTGACGGGTAGCTTGTTAGATATGTACATCAGGTAGCACATCAGATACGTCTGGCAGGGAGCTGAACACATCAGATACGTCTGGCAGGGAGTTGAGCACATCAGATACGTCTGGCAGTGAGCTGAACACATCAGATACGTCTGGCAGGGAGCTGAACACATCAGATACGTCTGGCAGGGAGCTGAACACATCAGATACGTCTGGCAGTGAGCTGAACACATCAGATACGTCTGGCAGTGAGCTGAACACATCAGATACGTCTGGCAGGGAGCTGAACACATCAGATACGTCTGGCAGGGAGCTGAGCACATCAGATACGTCTGGCAGTGAGCTGAACACATCAGATACGTCTGGCAGGGAGCTGAACACATCAGATACGTCTGGCAGTGAGCTGAACACATCAGATACGTCTGGCAGTGAGCTGAACACATCAGATACGTCTGGCAGGGAGCTGAACACATCAGATACGTCTGGCAGGGTAGAGACAGTATGCTCACAAATAATACGTTACGCAACATCAAACCTTCGATCTCCCGCTTGGTCATTTGGCCTCATATCACTTCCACATTGCGTGTTGGTCATCTATGACCCCATTGGACGTTTGTGTTCTCCTTTGTCTGAGGTTTGTAGATGTCAGTGGGAAGGGAATTGGATCAGAGGTGCATCTGCTCAAGTCCTTCTAAATGTTGAATTGCATCAAGTCCAGTTTATTTCATTTATGATAAAAGACACTATGCAGGAAGGGTTGGGTCAGCGTGACATACCTCCACTGCGCCTGGGAGGGTACGCTTAATGTAACATACCTGCCCTACCCCGGGCAGGATGCCTAACATACCTGTATCGTGCCGGAAAGCTGAAAGTCGGGTCAGAGTTCACCGCCAGGCTTGGGTCGTATTAATTTCTAATTCGCTGCCAAGTCACGGTGCTGAATAAACAATTTTGTGTGTGTGTGTGTGTTCAGTTATGTGTCTTTGGTCACATTCCTATACCAATTCCTTATTTTATTATTGAAAATACAATGGTTTGAAACGCTGAAAATAGTTGCGTTTAGTTCGATCTCCCTTTGCTCGTATCGTATCCGGCCGGACTCTGGCCGGACTCGTGTACTTCGGACTCCGGCCGGATGCACTCCGGACTCATTTTATTTTAGGTGCTTAAGTTATTGTCCATTGAAATGCACGTTAAACGTAAATTATGCTTGTAAATTGATAATAGTTTCTTGGCCAGTGTAACACGAGTTTTGTTTATGGGGTATTAAGTCTTGTTTCATAATTGCTTATTCCTAAGAAATATGGAAAGTTGCAATTGTTTCCCCTCCCCTCAAGTTGTGATTGTTTCCCCTCCCCTCAAGTTGTGATTGTTTCCCCTCCCCTCAAGTTGTAATTGTTTCCCCTCCCCTCAAGTTGTGATTGTTTTCCCTCCCCTCAAGTTGTGATTGTTTCCCCTCCCCTCAAGTTGTGATTGTTTCCCCTCCCCTCAAGTTGTAATTGTTTCCCCTCCCCTCAAGTTGTGATTGTTTTCCCTCCCCTCAAGTTGTGATTGTTTCCCCTCCCCTCAAGTTGTGATTGTTTCCCCTCCCCTCAAGTTGTGATTGTTTCCCCTCCCCTCAAGTTGTGATTGTTTCCCCTCCCCTCAAGTTGTGATTGTTTCCCCTCCCCTCAAGTTGTGATTGTTTCCCATCCCTCAAGTTGTGATTGTTTCCCCTCCCCTCAAGTTGTGATTGTTTCCCCTCCCGAATCAAACTTTGCCTTTGTGACCAGAACACTGGGAAAACGGGCGAATCTGGGACCAGATTCACGAAAGCACTTACGCAAGCACTTACGAACCTGTACATCTTTTCTCAATCTTTGGCGGCTTTGTTTATAATTATTAAACAGTTAATGAGCTCCGAAGCACCAGGAGGCTGTTTATAACAATAACAACAGCTGATTGGCAAGTTTTCACGTTTGTAAAATGTTTAATAAATGTGACCAAAGCCGTCAAAGATTGAAGAAAGATGTACAGGTTCGTAAATATTTGCGTAAGTGCTTTCGTGAATCTGGCCCCAGGACTTTGCATTATGGCTGGTGTTTCTGCTGGGTGAAAGGCAAAGTTATCAGGGAGGAATGAACAAATGTTCATTCGGAGGAACGGAGGAACTCCCTCCATTATCAGGGGGGACTTAGTTAGACCGCCTAGGAGACCCATCAGGTGTGTATCACCATTTAGAAGTCTGCGATGATCTGCCCGGCCACCGCACGCATCATACTGCAAAGCCCCCAGCAAGACTTCCAGCGATCGTGGTTGTGATACAGCCCAGCCAGAGACGGGGGGGACCTGTTCCCATTATGGAAGTTACTCTATCTTAACTCGCCACTAAATCTATCTGGGATGTTGTGGAAATAAGTACAATTCAAAATATCACTGTCCTGGTGAGAAAGGCATCGTTTGAGGGGGAGGGGGAGGGACCCAGAGACGAAGCTCAGCCCTCGCAAGCACAACTAGGTAGTTTGAGGAGGGATAATAACCCTGTATAATGCATTTTAAGCATAAGAAAGTACCAAACAATAGTACTTAGGATGAAATGCAAATGACACACTGTCTCAATCGACTAATGTGGTCCAGGCTAACGCCTCGTTACTGCTCTCGCACAATTATAACTAACTCGACATGTTCAGTTCTTCAAATTAAAGTTCTTCAAAGTTCTTCAAGAAATTTGCCTTAAGACATTTCAAGATTCACAAACTTGCGGTTTAAAATTATCATTCACTTAAATTTGTTTCGCTATGAACGAATACAGAATATGGGAAGCCAGATTAGGTTAAGTTAGGTTAGGTTAGGTTAGGTTAGGTTAGGTTAGGTTAGGTTAGGTTAGGTTAGGTTAGGTTAGGTTAAGTTAGGTTAGGTTAGGTTAGGTTAAGTTAGGTTAGGTTAGGTTAGGTTAGGTTAGGTTAGGTTAGGTTAAGTTAGGTTAGGTTAGGTTAAGTTAGGTTAGGTTAGGTTAGGTTAGGTTAAGTTTTGTTAGGTTAAGTTAGGTTAGGTTAAGTTAGGTTAGGTTAGGTTAGGTTAAGTTAGGTTAGGTTAGGTTAGGTTAGGTTAAGTTAGGTTAGGTTAGGTTAAGTTAGGTTAGGTTAGGTTAGGTTAGGTTAAGTTAGGTTAGGTTAGGTTAAGTTAGGTTAGGTTAGGTTAAGTTAGGTTAGGTTAGGTTAGGTTAAGTTAGGTTAGGTTAGGTTAGGTTAGGTTAAGTTAGGTTAGGTTAGGTTAGGTTAAGTTAGGTTAGGTTAGGTTAGGTTAAGTTAAGTTAGGTTAGGTTAGGTTAGGTTAAGTTAGGTTAGGTTAGGTTAGGTTAGGTTAGGTTAGGTTAGGTTAGGTTAAGTTAGGTTAGGTTAGGTTAGGTTAGGGTTTAGTTTAGGTTTAGTTTATTGAGATTTGTTTTGTATTTAAAGTAAAAGGCGAGATGTCTATTTGAAGGAAGCTGCAAATTTCCTTGCTGCCTTCCCCTTTCAGACTTGCTGCCTTCCCCTTTCAGATTTGGTGCCTTCTCCTTTCAGACTTGCTGCCTTCCCCTTTCAGATTTGGTGCCTTCTCCTTTCAGACTTGCTGCCTTCCCCTTTCAGACTTGGTGCCTTCTCCTTTCAGACTTGCTGCCTTCTTCTTTCAGACTTGCTGCCTTCTCCTTTCAGACTTGCTGCCTTCTTCTTTCAGACTTGCTGCCTTCTCCTTTCAGACTTGCTGCCTTCCCCTTTCAGACTTGCTGCCTTCTTCTTTCAGACTTGCTGCCTTCTTCTTTCAGACTTGCTGCCTTCTTTCAGACTTGCTGCCTTCTTCTTTCAGACTTGCTGCCTTCCCCTTTCAGACTTGCTGCCTTCTTTCAGACTTGGTACCTTCTCCTTTCAGACGTGCTGCCTTCCCCTTTCAGACTTGCTGCCTTCCCCCTTTCAGACTTCGTGCCTTCTCCTTTCAGACTTGCTGCCTTCCCCCTTTCAGACTTCGTGCCTTCTCCTTTCAGACTTGCTGCCTTTCCCTTTCAGACTTGCTGCCTTCTCCTTTCAGACTTACTGTCTCTCGGCCTCAGGGTTCCAGCCACCGTCCCCTCTCGGTCCTAAGGCCACCTCTCCTCTAGCCAAGACACGATATGTATCTTAGGATCTATCCCCTTAAAGGAAGGTTCTAATTGTCCCTACCGCAGATCACCACAACTGACAGCAATATACAGGGTTATCTTCTTCGTTGTATTCGCATACTTAGCACGATTTTGATAGTATGGTTTCGATACCTTGACCAACCATCAATCTTCCAATTATATTCCCCCGACCCTACACTTACCAAAAAAAAAAAAAAAATCTCTATGGTGTGATTTTGAGGCGAGATATATTGGAAAACATATCCAATTATATTTGTAGATGATATGCCGCCTCGTTTATAAGGTATAATTAATAGGACCTCTTCATTCAAGTTTTCAACCACTCCCTCCTCCTCCTCCTCCCCCCCCCCCTTGTATGGGTCCTAAAGGTTGTTCCGGAGGTAGTTCTCTCCCGACCTGTCATTAGCTGCGTCTTCCAAACACCTTGAGATGCAGATAATGGGTTGGCATGAGTAGATTTATAATACACATATAACCATTCGTCAGCTGTCTGGTTCCTCCCTGTTGTTTGTTAACACCCGTTAGGCCTGCCGTAGCTGTCCAGGCCTGCTGTAGCTGTCCAGGCCTGCCGTAGCTGTCCAGGCCTGCTGTAGCTGTCCAGGCCTGCCGTAGCTGTCCAGGCCTGCCGTAGCTGTCCAGGCCTGCTGTAGCTGTCCAGGCCTGCCGTAGCTGTCCAGGCCTGCTGGAGCTGTCCAGGCCTGCCAGATCTGTCCAGGCCTGCCGTAGCTGTCCAGGCCTACTGGAGCTGTCCAGGCCTGCTGTAGCTGTCCAGGCCTGCCGTAGCTGTCCAGGCCTGTCGTAGCTGTCCAGGCCTGCCGTAGCTGTCCAGGCCTGCCGTAGCTGTCCAGGCCTGCTGTAGCTGTCCAGGCCTGTCGTAGCTGTCCAGGCCTGCCGTAGCTGTCCAGGCCTGCTGTAGCTGTCCAGGCCTGCCGTAGCTGTCCAGGCCTGTCGTAGCTGTCCAGGCCTGCTGGAGCTGTCCAGGCCTGCCGTAGCTGTCCAGGCCTGTCGTAGCTGTCCAGGCCTGCTGGAGCTGTCCAGGCCTGCCGTAGCTGTCCAGGCCTGTCGTAGCTGTCCAGGCCTGCCAGATCTGTCCAGGCCTGCCGTAGCTGTCCAGGCCTGCTGGAGCTGTCCAGGCCTGCCGTAGCTGTCCAGGCCTGTCGTAGCTGTCCAGGCCTGCCAGATCTGTCCAGGCCTGCCGTAGCTGTCCAGGCCTGCTGGAGCTGTCCAGGCCTGCCGTAGCTGTCCAGGCCTGTCGTAGCTGTCCAGGCCTGCCAGATCTGTCCAGACCTGCCATATCTGTCCATATCTGCCAGATCTGTCCAGGCCTGCTGGAGCTGTCCAAGCCTGCCGTAGCTGTCCAGGCC